GACTTTTTTCAGTTTTGGATTGAGTAGGGAATACAAGATCCGACCCAGCCAAACATGCACAGCTCAGCGTGCCTTAACAAAGTAACTCCCATGTGATTATGTCATCCTTGGCCAACCAATCAAGGTGGCTGAAAACTCTTGACCTGGAAAAAGACCAGAAGAGGTGGCGACAGTGTGACGAGGGGAGTGTGGGCATCGCATCACTGAAGGGTGGGATGGTTTTTTTCCTTCAATAATCTTACCTATCGAAAGCTGGTTTAACAGTGAGGCTATAGTGACATTTTAAAGGCCAACTTCATGCAAGTGAAACCGATCAGCTGAATGATGCCCAGGAAACATAACATCTGTGCTAAAGTCAGAAAGCTTACTAAACTGACATTCCTTTTTTCTATTAAACATGTTTTCTTCCGATTTGTCCTTGCAGCCAATTTATACATAGCTTTTAAAGGACTTCTGTGTAGGACTGGAGCCTCTCGGCAGACATTCTGTACTGTCCAGCCACCATTCTTCCTGGAAAGTGTTGTGGAAGTGGACCGGTGGTATGAATATTTTTTCTTTTGGCCAAGTTTCTGCATAATTAGAATAAGACGTGCATTAAGATGGAGGCTACCGCTATGTTTGGGGCCGGTGCTGCCACTAGGCAAACTAGACAGCCGCCTAGGATGCACTGCTGGCTAGGGCACAGCTTTGACCACTCACCCCCCATGGCGCCCCACCCCCCGTCTATTTCAAGTTGCAAAAGACAATAGCAAGCTGGCTGCCCACTGAGCAGAGGAACGGAACTGAGAGGCAACTTTCTCTCTCAGGTCTGCTCCTCAGGTGGGGTTTCAATATCTGGCTAAGTTTTCACATGGGTGGAGTTTGGAACGTTGGACTTTGTTACAAATTCAACGTCTTAGGAACAGGGAGTTCCGAGACACTAATTTGCAGGACAGGCAACCTGGTGCTTAGGATCATGGCCAGGTTCAAATTTGGAGGCACCATGCAGGCAAGTACTCTGTTGTCTAAATTACACATTTCCATTATTGCTTGGAGCTTACCTTGAAGAAGTAGACCGGTAACTTGTTAAAAAATACATAATGCTTTGAGGTAAATTTTTAGTTAAAATGACTGTCTCTCTACTTAAAGATATACAAACACATATATACATAAAAACATTTCTAGTCCTGTGTATAAAACAGATAGACAAACACACATATACAGTATATACATACACACAAGTAGCGGTAGTCCTGCATATAAATATATATAATCTAAACTGTTTATTTTTTACTCCCACTTGGAGACTCACAAAATTATTTAATTAAAAACAGTGACTTTTGCAGGGATGGCGGATAATGACGCTATTGTTAAGTAATAAGACATGACAGGATGCCTTTTATTAAGCTGTTTACCCATGCCATGGGCAGGCTGGGAGGCACAGAGTCAAAGGCCAAGTGACTTCAACCATCCGAGACGTGCTGAAAAGTGCCAATAAAACACAGTCGAGTGTGTTTCTGGTAATGTAGCTTGGACCCGACGACAAAGGCGAGCCAGCAGGGAACGCGTGCTGCAAAGTGAAAACCTAATAGAAGCCTGTGTGCCGACATAGGAGGAGGTGAGAACCCACATTCCTTCACAGCGTTCCTGAAGCTGTGAGAAATATCTAAGGCACCTTAACAAAGTGGACCTGTCAGCTGCCCCATACAGTCCGAACACTAGTCTTCTTAGAAAGCTAGATATTAGTTTTCATATGGTATTATTATTCCCTCTAGTCTTGCAGGGCTGGGATCCTCTGCTCAATTCTCATCATAAGGCTTTATGCATAGGACCTGCACTTCCTATGTGTGCCAGTTTCCTACCACAACCCAAAGAGATACTGATATATGAGGAGACGTGCATTTATATAGCTGCGCTAGGGAGATTAGATTGTAAGCTCCTCTGGGGTTGTTCTCTGTAAAGCCCTGCATAGTGTGCTTATAAAATACATGATGCATAAAATAAAGTAAGTGCCACAAATGCGGACAGTTCAAACTGAGCATATGATAAAAAACAATTATTTGATGACCATCATACCCAGAAATACAGAAAGCTGGAAATACAGTGTATTCAGAAAGTATTCAGGCCCCCTTCACTTATTCAATTTTGTTATGTTGCAGCCCGCTACTACAGTTGTTTAAATTCTTTTTTTTCCCCTCACTAATCTACACTCCATATCCCATAATGACAAAGTGAAAACACAATTATAGAAATGTTTGTAAATTTAATAAAAGGGAAAAACTGAAATATCACATTGGCATCAGTATTCAGACCGCTTGCAACAACACTTGCAATTTAGCTCAGGTGCCTCCCATTTCTCTTGATCGTTGCTGAGATGTTTCTACACCTTGATTGGAGTCCACCTGTGGTAAGTTACATTGATTGGACATGATTTGGAAAGGCAAACACCTCTCTATAGAAGGTCTCACAGCTGACAATGCATACTGTATCAGAGCAAAAGCCATGAGGTCAGAGGAACTGCCTGCAGGGCTCAGAGACAGGATTATTGGAAGACACAGATCTGGGGAAGGCAGCAAAAAAATTTCTGCTGCACTGAAGAGCACAGTGGCCACCATAATTATCAAATGGAAGAAGTTTGGCACAGCCAGGAATCCAAGAGCTGGTCGCCTGGCCAAACTGAGCAATCGGAAGAGAAGGGCCTTTGTAAGATAGGTGACCAAGAACCTGATGGTCACTCTGACTGAGCTCCAGAAATCCTGTGTGGAGAAAGAATGGACAAAGTTCCAGAAGGACAGCCATCACTGCAGCCCTCAACTGATCTGGCAGATTGGCTAGACAGAAGCCTCTTCTCAATGCAAAACACATGAAAGCCTGCTTGGAGTTTGGAAAAAAGCACCTGAAGGACTCTCAGACTGTGAGGAACAAGATTCTCTGGTCTGATGAAACCAAGATTTAACTGTTTGGCCTCAATTCTAAACGTTATGTCTGGAGGAAACCAGGCACCGCTCATCACCTGCCCAATACCATCCCAAAAGTAAAGCATGGTGGTGGCAACATCATGCTGTGGGGGTGTTTTTCAGCAGCAGGGACTGCAAAACTGGTCAGGGTTGGAGGAAAGCTAAATGGAGAAAAGTACAGATATCCTCAATGAAACCTGTTCCACACTGCTCAGGATCTCAGACTGGGTCAAAGGTTCACCTTCCAATATGACAACGATCCTAAGCATACAGCCAAGACAACACAGGAGTGGCTTAGGGACAACTCTGTGAATGTCCTAGAGTGGCCCAGCCAGAACCCTGATTTGAACCCTGTTGAACATCTCTAGACCTGAAAATGGCTGTCCACCGACAGTCCCCATCCAACCTGACTTGAGAGGATTTGCAAAGAAGAATGGCAGAAAATCCCCCAATCCAGGTGTGCAAAGCTTGTCGCGCCATACCCAAAAAGGCTTGAGGCTGCCAAAGGTGCTTCAACAAAGTGCTCAGTAAAGAGTGTGAATACTTAAGTACATGTGATATTTCATTTTTATTCTTTTTAATAAATTTGACACATTTCTAACATTCTGTTTTCACTTTGTCCTTATGGGCTATTGAGTGTAGATTAATGAGAAAAAAACATTTAAACTGTAGTATCAGGCTGCAACATAACAAAAAGTGAAAGGGGGTCTGAATACTTTCTGATTGCACTGTATATGCAAATCTGGACTTTGACTTTTCTTGTCATAGTTAAACTTTAGGATCTGCAACCTCTGCTGTTGCATTTTTTCATCATTAGGTGAGGTCAGCAAACATCAGACATCAAAATCACAAGGGAAAAGTGTATTGCATTGAATCATTTTGATGATATATTATCACATGTGATAAGCCATAATGAATTGGGCTCACAAGGCAGAATATAGTGATTACCTATATAAGTAAATGGGCTGACATACCTGTGCATAAATCAGGTATATGCTTAAAACAGTGGCATTGCTACTTGCATCTGTAGAGACATGGCGATGGCACTATTTTATGGGAAACAGTTCAGTCTGGCAAGTGTCACACGGAAAGTAACTATGCGCTGCTGTAGTGCCAGACGATGGCATGTCACCAGTGAAATAGGAGCCCTTCGGGCAGTGCCGTTGAAAGAAAGTGACTGTAGGTGTGGGCGCAGCTGTATATTAGAGCACTCCATCTATTTCGAAGCTGTAAATATATTCTGCAAGACAAGCCTGATGAAAAGACTCCTGTATATCATGCCTGGCAAGGGCCACCATAATCCCATTTCTACACTCACATGCCATCAGAATCACTCAAGACTGCATGAATAGCTCTGAGTGAGGAACGTACTGGCCGCCCACCACTGGGGTGGTGACAGCTGAAAGTTGGGTGTAATGGAGTCACTGGTGGTCTCTGAGTAATCTTACTCAGAGACGACTGACGTTACAGCACCATACAAACTGACCTGAATGTAAACAAAGGTCACTAGAATGCTAACGACCTCATTCAATAAAGAGCTTATATATTGAAGGTTTACTAACAAGATCCTTTGTTGCTGCCCATAGCACACAGTCCACTTCCAACTGTCATTTCTACCATCCATGAAACATGGATTCTAAATGGTTGTTATGGGCAACAAGAAATATTCTCATTAACACACTCTTCATGCATAAGTTCCCGACAATTCTTTATTTTGTAAGTGCAGAACCAATCCGTATTCATTCAGGCCAGTGCAATGTCAATATTGTATGTTTACATCTAACAATCAGCACACAGTAACGGGGGAACTCTTTACTGAATAAACTTGTATTGGGCCCCTAAAGAGACCCTGTCAGCTGACCATTCATTTCAACATTTTAAGATTAAATGTGCATTTAACATATTGTATGGATGGCACTTACCTGTAAAATCTTCTCTTGTGTAGACATCCAGAAGTCCTGAGACTGCTGCTGGGTGTCGCCATCTTGGACGTGAAGTCAGCAGCCCCAGCAGACTCAGCGACATGCAATAATATTCCCCTTCTCTCCTCCCCTGTCTGCTACTTAAAAGGTTATGTGAAGAGATGAAGGGAGGGGCACAGGAGCTTGGCCAGCACAAACAGTAATTAGACGCTCTCAAATGAGGTCTCAAAAGGGTTATGATGTGCAAAGAAGGAGGGAGCTGTGCTGATGTGCAAAGAAGGAGGGAGCTGTGCTAACAAACTAGTCAAATTGTCTTGCAAATTCAAAGGCATATTGCACGTGAAAAAAATTATTTATGGAAAGGAAAAACCCTGCAAGGAAGCATTTAAAATACTTGATTTGTATGTGTATTTACCTGCATGTTTTAAGTTGGTGACAGGGTCTCTTTAAAGGGAGTTTATGCTGTAATGTTAATGTTCTTACATATATTTGTGAACACAATTATGGTGATCAATGCAGACACTGTACATTAAAACTTTGCCAATCGGAAACCTTTTATGTATATACTTGACAACAGTACTATTATTACTGCAGTAAGATATGCAATTAGGAAAAGTGACCTACCTGTATGTAGTCCAATACTTGCTGATGCCTCTGCTTTGCAGCTGCAACCTCGTCATCTGAAATTGCTTCTCGCAAGGCCTGCTGGGATATTAAGGAGTCCAGCTCTACTATAGCAGACAGCCGACAATATAAGCTGATAAACTTCTCTCTGTAGCAGCAAAAGTGAACTGCAATTTGGAGAAACAAAAGCTTATGAGTGTTTCTGGTTATTTATGTTGTGTCGGTGTAATATAGATACATACTGTAAATATGTAAGCACGCAGCGTATTTGTATTGTGTGCATGAAAAAAGATGAGCTCTCAATTCCATGAATTAAACTGATTGAATTAAATAACTATATAGTAGTTGCAGCACCACACAGTTCATCTTGTTTTTTGTTTTTTTTTTGCATATAAATTTTTATTGAAGTTAAAATACAAGAAAGTGACAAGGTAAATCAAGGCATATTCACAGTACTCCAATGTACATGTTCATCTTGTTTTTTAAATAGAAATTGCAACAGTGAGATCGGATTGCACTGCACTGGAGTGGAGGGCATTTCTGTACCTCGCGTTCTAGTGCGGGTGATCACACTGCGGGTGGGGGGCGTGTCTGCGGTGACATTCACATGAATGGCACAGTCACGCCCCCTCCTGCCCCAGAATGCGGCCCGGCCTCATCTATGCGAGCCAGTGCATTCCGGGCTCGGACAGCACGGAACACACTGGATATGGTGTGACTGGGCCCTCAAGCAGCTTACTATCCAGGGTCCCTATCTCACATGCATACGTGGGCCAATTTAGACAGGAGCCAATTAACCTTCCAACCGGAGTACCCGGAGGAAACCCACACAAGCACAAGGAGAACATGCAAACCTTGCAGATATTCTTGCAGATAGTGACCTGGCCAGGATTCGAACCAGGGACCCCCAGTGGTGCAAGGCAGAATAGCTAACCACTACTCAGATCTAGGATGAAACTTGGTTAGATCTTAAATCCTGTTTAATTGATAAAGTAAATCCGTGAAAAAAAACGGGTTCAATCCTCTAAGATGCAACCTAAAGTTATTTACAACCATTTTAACCACTTTCACAGTAACAAATTGCTGCCCATTGTATTTCAGTCCTTACATTACAAGGTAGGAAATATTAAAATCTGTCTTTTTTTTATTCCCTAAATTTACAGTACTATTGACTAAACATGAAGTGGTGGGGACGCTTTATAATATAAGTAAGACATTACAATCACAATACAATTCAAGACGGCTATGGAGGGCCCTGCCCATGAGGGCTTACAATCTAAAAGGGAGGGGCAAGTGATACATGAGAAGGTAGCTGTGTGGGGATGAATGGTTTGAGAACGTGATGGTTGAGCGGTTAGGTTGAGGTGGGATAGGCTTCCCTGAAGAGACGAGTCTTTAGGGATCACCTAAAGGCAGTCAGAGTAAGAGATAGATGGACAGGTTGGGAGTTACATAGATGGGAGAGACTCTAGAGAAGTTCTGGAGGCAAGCATGGGAGGAGTTGACGAGGGAGCTGGAAAGCAGAAGGTCTTTTGAAGAGCGGAGGGGGCGGTTAGGGTGATACTTTGAGATGTAGCCGGGGGCAGAGTTGTGGATGGCTTTGTAAGCATGGAAGCAATTGTTACAAGAATTGCTGTCCATGTCACTGCTAATGAGCTTTCTTCTGGATTCATTTTCCATTGGTCACAAAGTGCTCAATGCCTTCCAAAAAAGTTTTGGATAGAGTTGGGCTATGGCTTTTGGCTTGAAGATAAGCTGGCTATGGACATGAGAAGATTGCTGCCTGCTCCTGTTGACTACAGCTGGATCAAGAGAATATCTCACATCTCAGGCCACCTAAACTTGACAACATGCAGCAAGAAATCAAGTTAGAAAACCTTGTTGCATGAACACATTATCTTATATGCAGGGAAAGCATTTGATCAAGCAAGCTCTGGCAAAAAAATGTATAAGGTCAGAGGCGTGGCATCTAATGTCTATGGAGCACCTTTAATGTCAAATACATAACATTTTATGTAAGGTTTTATAAAGGTTATCGCACAACAAAATTCTGTTTTAAAACCCTCCCTGGTAACCGAGGCCTTAATAAAAGGAATGCAGCGAGCTTTTAACATGTTTGCACCCTTCTAAAATAGCAGACATTATTGTGACACTGATTAATGAATCTTTCATTCTATCTCACTACAGCATCAGCACACAATCTACATAAATACACCCACACTCCTGAGCAATAAAACAACCTGACAAAAAGGTCTTTGTTACATTACCTACACAAGAAGTCACGCTAATATGAAGATATTAATACAACATACCATGGGCTATGACATATTGAATTATTTTCATGAACATTTGCCGATTCTTGAACGGATGTTTAGGAAGAAAAAAAGGAAATGGATTGCTTCAGTTCTCTAATGCATACCCTCCTTGATCCGGTGGCCTCAGCCTCTGCATGTTTAAGTGTGGCCACATGTACAGACATGCGAGAGGGGCAGAAAGGTGTAATGGGCAAATTTAGACTTAAATGATTTTAGATAGAGATTTAAAATAAACTGGCTTGAAGTAAAAAAAATATATCAATGCCTGCAAAAAAAACAAACACCTTGATTCTGTGTACAATTTTTGTAATCATATACTCGCATGTGGGTTACATATTTTCTTATTACCCATGCAGGTTCTGCTTCCTAATTTGCAGTGCTACACAATGGTAGTACTTTGTCACTTCTTTTTACAGTGCAAGTATGAGTTGGCCTTATCAATGAAAACAATGCTTTCCATGTTGTAGATGGTAAAGATAAACTCCAGGTTCCCCCTTTCCCACTACCAGTGTTAACTGCTCATTTTGCCTAGGGGATGATACATAAGGGAATCTCTTATTGCTCTCTCCCACAGGCTTCCTCCTCTTCATTTCACTGACAGGTCCACCAAAGCATCTTCCCTTTGCTCCCCGACCGGCTGCAACCCTCTTCTCTTCCATCATCCTATATAATGTAAAACCAGAAGGTCATACATTTCCTTTTCCAGAGCTGGATATAGGGACGGGGGAACAAGGTCCTGGTTGAAGTGAAAGCCAGAAATTACAATTGCCAAGTACTGGACTTCAAAAACACCGGTCCTTATGTAAGAGCAAAAATGGTTCTTTGCGAGATAAGGCCACCAGTGTAGACACTTGCCTTGCAGAGGTGATGGCTACAATGAAAACGCGAGAGAGAGCACGTGCGCGTGAGAGAGAGACCCCTAAATGGGTTCAAATAGTGATTTCTGAAGAGCAGAGAGAACCAGATTTAGATCTCGTCACAGCAGCTGGGTAATGGATGGAAGGAGCCCCCAAGTACATAGGTCTTGATCAAAGAGTAAGAGACCAAAAGTCTCTGAAGCAGAATGGAGAAGCTTATACAAAAGCAGAGAGTTGGATGGCACTCTTCTCTCAAAGCAGAGACTCTCCCTTCTCACTCTGTGCAGGCTTTAAGTAAAAAAAAAAAAAATAGAGTGAGCTGGAAAGGAAAAAGCCAGTGCTAGCTAGCTCTTAACAGAACCCAGATAATACGTTATGAATGCATATAATTGCTAAACAGGCCATTTTATAACAACGTTATGAAAAATCATCTTTCCATTTCAGTCTGCTAAAAAAATGTAAACGCCACTTTTCAACCATAGGAACCCCTGCAGATGTTCTGTACACTGTGTACACAACAGCCCCAGAAAATCTTGATACCTTTTCAGGTAATTGGCACATTTTTCCCCTGCAGTTTCACTCTTATTACAACACTGATTGACTGATAACATAATGATACCATGCAGATAATCACTTCCACCTAAGATATATAAAGTATGCTGCAGATGACTGTTTCCTTGTTTCACTTGTTCTATTAAGTGGCTCGTATTGTAAAAAAAATGTATGTGGGCTAAAGTATTCTACGCTGTAAATGCCTATCTATCAATCCTTTCATATTTCTATACTTACATCTTTAAGGCTGCACCTATACCCGGCCTTGTGTCATGTATTGCCTCATTTGGTCATTGGTTGATGGTAGTGATGAACATTCAGTACATTCCTCTACACTCTCCTGGTGATTTTAGTGCAGGACATGCCAACAATTTGGCCCCTTTCAAATTTAGGAAGCTGTTGATCTAGGATTCTCCCTCTCTTCTCAGCACTTTCATTTTCAATCAATTTTCATTAGTTCAATTTTTCAAAACAATTAACAAACTGTAACATTTCATAATTAAATCCGGTAAGAATTACTTCTTAATATCTGCTAAATATGTCATTTATGTCTATGATAAGTGATATGTAATTGTATGAAAAACGATTTTGGTAACCGTTTCAGTACGCAAACATTTGAAATGTAAAAAATAACCTTCTACCATCAACAATGTTTATTGATCCACGTGGAGCTCTTTTCTCCTGACAGTTGAGATACCATGAAACGTGCAGCAGTGTGGGGTAAGGCATCCCTCCCAATATATCCATCATCTATTTGTGTTGTTGGATAAGGTCTCATTTCCTTGAGAGGGAACAAATGTCAAAGGTCCTCTGCCCTGGGAGATGCACTTAACATAAACTGTGTTATCTCCTTGTCCATATCAACTAGAGGCTTCACCATACTCTCAGCCGACTGTCTCGGTAGTGTCTGCAGCTCTTGTGTTATGGTAACGTTCCCAGGGCTAGGATTCATTTCATTTCTGGGCTCTATCTCGTGTGAGATCTGAAACAGAGGCAGACTTGCTTGATTTCCCTCTTGTCCTCGTCTAACATATTGACACGTTATTGGTAGGATAACAGGCCTGAGGGAATCCACGAGTCTGCTAGTAACAGAAATACTCAAGTCCTTGTTCCATCTCAATACCTTTCCACAAAAGACGCTGTAGGATGGTAGTCAAATGAAAAGGCACTATAGAACACTTCACGCTCAAAGCAAAGAGTACAACCGTCCATCTTAGACACATTGCTACTAAAAGGTAAAAAATCCACCCTGTTTTCCTTTAAATTTTAAGGTAATTTCACATTTTTTTTCTAAAAAGATATTTTAGGCAAATTTTTGTCACACCATAACCACAGCAGTTTCTATTAAATCATCTATGGAGAAATGTAAGACAAAGGTACATTTTGCTTGAATATTGCTTAGGTGAAATAAAAATGTTTAGATGGTCCCCTATAACATAGCAC